AGAGAGAGAGAGAGAGAGAGATAGGGAGAGTCTGTGTGAGAGGCAGAGAGCGAGAGGAGAGAGAGAGACTAGTGAGATAAGTGGTTAGCAGCAGTACAACATATGATTACCATTAACCTACCGTCTTATCTCCAGGACTCTGTGGATCTGCGACTCGAAGACTTTGATCTGGATCTGGATCCTGAGCGGGAGCAGGCCCTCCAGACAGTCATTCAACAGGAGGAATCCCTGACTAAGGAGCTGGAGCAGGAGGAGAGGAAAGAGATCGTTGTCGATACGGAACCTGAGACGGAGGAAGCTGACGACATCGATGAAGATGAGGAAGAGGAGGGTGTTGTGAGTATTCAGAGAGTAGGAGGAGGGTGTGGTGAGTAGTGAAAGAGAAGGAAGAGGAGGAGGAGGGTGGGGTGAGTAGTGAAAGAGAAGGAAGAGGAGAAGGAGGAGGAGGTGGGTGGGGTGAGTAGTCAAGATGTCACATTTTCAATAAACCCCATTATTAATCAGCCGTGTTATTAATCGATTTCAGTTAATCATATGCTGTGTACGGCGATTTCGATCAATTACTTGGAAGCATGTGTTGCATTTGTCGTGGCAGCAGGGAGTTCTAGGCGGTGTGCCACACAGATGTTCACATAAGCCTCGTCTACACGATGTTTCCTTAACCTGGGTTAAGAACAGTCTTGGGTTAGCTTAACCTGAGATAAGGAATGCGTAGCGTCTACACGAGCACCACCCGCTCCATGCTTGAGCGGTTCTGACACGCGAGATGTTCCTATTGTTCTATTGTCTATAGTGGATTTTTGTTCACTACGCTGCCTATCGAAGGGTTAAGGAAGTATGTGCTATCCCGGGTTAGCAGCGTCTCCACGACACTTAACCCGAGACAGCTCTTAACCCTGGTTAGTTAACCCTCCTCACATCGTGGGGTTACACTAACCCGGGTTAAGACGTATCCCGGGTTAGTTAACCCGGGTTAGGCCCTCGTGTAGATGCTTAACCCGGGTTAAAAATCCTCGTGTAGACGCTTAACCCGGGTTAAAAATCCTCGTGTAGACGAGGCTATAGTGTATGTTGTAAATCCTCGGCAAGATGTCTGTTGTAATTTGTCACACTTACCTTCTCACAGCTGATGCAGTCGCGGGTGGAGTCTACTGAGCCATCACAGGACTGGAATACCATTGTGACTCAGTATGAATGTAGGTGCTCTGATTTTACTATGATCACATCGATATTTTTTCTGATTTACATCGATATATCCGTGATGTTGACAAGCATGTGGGGTTCGATTATAGCATATATTCGTGGGATATGTTATCATTATGTTGCCAATTTCAGGTGGCAGTTGTTGTAGTTTATGCCTGCAGTTTTACTAATGGCACCTTACCAATATATTCTTGTCGAGTTTGTAAAACACTAAGACCTATTATATTTCTTCATATCGATGTAGATATGCTCTGATGCGTGTGTGGGTACCTGCACATGTGCATAGCTGCGTACCTACATTTGCATACCTGCGTGCATGCGTGCGTGCGTGCGTGCGTGCGTGCGTGCGTGCGTGCGTGCGTGCATGTACACGTGCTGTCACCCTGTATTAGCTATGAGTAAGCTATGAGTGAGCTATGAGTGAGCTATGAGTGAGCTATGAGGGAGCTATGAGTGAGCTATGAATGATCTAATGTGAGCTATGAGTGAGCTATGAGTGAGCTATGAGTGAGCTATGAGTGAGCTATGAGTGAGCTATGAGTGAGCTATGAGTGAGCTATGAGTAAGCTAACCTGGCGTCTTGTTGCTGGATTGTTGCAGCTCGGGTGGAGGAGCACATGTCGTGGGGAGACATCGTCGAGGCGAGTGAGAGTCGACTGCCGGGCCGTGCCCTGCAGATTCACGAGAAGCTCTCCTCACCCTCACGCAAACGGTGAGCCACACCCGACCCAACCGTATTAGGCCAACGCGAGCCGTGCAGCCGTCATTTGCGACGTGTCAGTTTGAACTGCAGGCCAAAAAATTTACAAATTTACAAATTTACAAAAATGAAAAATAAAATTTCTGGGGAGGCCCCCCCCCCGTACCCCCCAATGAGAGGGGAAGGACCCCATCTGATACTCTCCCCTTTGTGGCTGAGACACATACAAAAAAATTGCACTCCAAAATATTTTTTCTGCACTCCCACAACATTCATTCCTGGCTAATGCCCTGACACAACCCCACCCCACCCCACCCCCTGTGCGAGCCCCCCTCCCACTCACTCAAGAACTATCATTCCTTGAAACGTTTCCCGTCCGCTGTTAAACCTAACAACCATTAAACAGTCCAATAGATCTAATGCAATGCAATATAAATCTATGCATGAATATAAACCACATAAATGGTTCACATAAATGGTTCGCATAGATGGTGAATCAGTCCAGTAGAAGCATAAAATAGTATTTAATGTATAGAAGAAATAATTATGATAGTGAGTGTTATAATTATAATATAAGTAAGTATATATAATATATATATAATTCTAGTACCGTATATATATATATATATATAAAAGTCATAATAATCGTATTAAAGTAATTTCATAACGAAGCTATCATGAGATTCATCGTTATTAAACGGATAGAAGAAGAGCATGTGGATAGTAACAGAAATATCAGTTATTATTCTGCATTCACACTGACAGTATTTATATTAAAGTAAAGTAATTCTTCACATTAGTCGTAAGTGTTCGGCAGTCCACGTGGCTGTGTGATTCTACTCTGAAAGGTCGTCAAGCTCGCTGCGCTAATCAGAGGCTAACGAGCTTCGTTTGCAGGTCGCTGACAGAATCCATCAGACGACACAAGGAGAAGCAGGCAAAGGCACTGGAGTTGAGGGAGAAGCTGATGGAAGACAAGGCTCTTCACCTGAAGGAGCTCTCCAGAAAGGTGATCACGTGATTTCCTAGGGAAAATAATTCTTCTTTAACGCTCCTGCCTTAAATTGATCATTAACGCAGGAGGATGAGAATACCCTATTATGATTTTGATTATGATTATTTAATATATAAATATAATAAATATATATTTAAATATATATTAAAATATAATAGTATTATATTTTTATATTAATATTTTATATATTATGATTATGATTATGAAGACCATAAGTAGGCCAACTGTGCATTTGACTTATATTGTCAGCCATTATGAAATCACATTTATTTCAAGTCGTTTCACAATGTCTGGGAAAGGCATGTTTACATTGGTAGAACCATAGAGTGATAAAGTCATGCACAGTCGTATCTGTAACTATCCGAGGCACACTAGAATAACAGTTCTTGACCCATCATTACGAAGATTGGGCAGCCAGTCGGTCAAAAACTTCAGTCTTTGCTGAACACCATGTGTGAAGATATTAATCAGGACGAATAAAAAACAATTTTTAAGTAAATGAAAAACTAAGTAAGCATGGTTTCAATAAGGTTGCTGGTAACATCTAACAGTAATTCATATTTACTTAGGAAATAGGCAAGGTACGAGTTGATAATTATTCTTTATAAGCATGTGGTTTCTAACTAACCATGCATTTGTGGTGACATTTCTTATGGATTTACCGGAGTAATAGTCTAATCATTATGGCATAGTTAATAATTGTTACACGATTATATAATTATAATAATAAATTCTGAATATAAATAGAATTATTATATTATTTGTTATAGTTATTATTTATCTATAATATTTATATATAAATATAATATATCAAAATATAATTATATATTATAATATATGCGTGCGTGCGTGCGCGCACGCGTGTGTGTGCACCACACCCTCCTCCTACTTATAACATTCTACATATATTAATTATAGAATTATATAACAATATATATTAATTATAGAATTATATAACAATACACACACACCTCAATTATCATGTAAAATTTTATAAGTAGGAGGAGGGTGTGGTAATAATTGTCATTGAGTGTGTAACTAAGGGTGTGTGTTGAACAGGTAGAGGAGGTGAGAGCCGTGAAGGAGGATCTGCTCAGTCAGCGTCGACTCGCGATGGAGGACAAGCTGCAGCGAGCCGAGGAGAAGAGGCTGCAGCAGCTTCAGATGAAGGTCAGCAAGTGCAAGGAGGAGGATGCAAAGGTAGGCTGTGCACACACGCACGCACACGCACGCACGCGCACGCACACGCACGCACGCACGCACGCACGCGCACGCATGCACGCACAAGCACGCACGCACACGCACGCACGCGCACGCACGCACACGCACGCACACGCACGCACACGCACGCATGCACCATGACGCACGCACACGCACGCATGCACGCACGCACATGCACACATGCACGCACACGCACGCACACGCACACACGCACGCGCAGGCATGCATGTACACACACGCACACACTCACCCATGCACGTACGCGCATGCGCACGCATGCACGCACGCACACACGCATGCCCATGCACGCACACCCACCCACACAAACACACACGTATGCACATTCATACACACTCACTCACGTAAACACCCACGTATGCACATATGCACTCATGCACGCATGCACACACTGCGATGCCACGGATCTATAAAGATAGCAATGAACAATGTATAGTACATGGGTGTGTGTGTGAAGGGAAGGGCTGGACCATCTGTACAGGCCACAGGTGCCATGTTGATGATGACTCGTAGGTGATTCACATCGATCCACGCCGCTGTGGAGGTCAGTGATGACCGTCGGTCACATCTATGCTACTGTGAGGTCACTAATGACCTGATGACCATCGGTCACATCTATGCTACTATGAGGTCACTAATGACCTGATGACCGTCGGTCACATCTATGCTACTATGAGGTCACTAATGACCTGATGACCGTCGGTCACATCTATGCTACTATGAGGTCACTAATGACCTGATGACCGTCGGTCACATCTATGCTACTGTGAGGTCACTAATGACCTGATGACCGTCGGTCACATCTATGCTACTATGAGGTCACTAATGACCTGA